ATACACTAGAGGTTCAGCCGATATGATCTCTATGTATGCCCGGTGGGTCAATACGTTCTGCTAGGGGCCGCTGTTGACGCATGGACCGAAAAGGAATTTTCGGGTTACAGCCGAGTGTACATGAACCTACAGGGTCGCACGCTTAATGGGCCGGAATAAGGAGATTAAATGGAGGTCCAATATGAGCTTAATTCGGATTGGGATCCGAATAGGAGTCCTACGGGCCTTGGAGGCCCGAGTGATGGATCCTATATATTCGTGAGGGGTGTGACCGGCGGAGGGATTGCGTCACGCGAGAAACCCTAACCGTCACTTCCCTCCCCGAGCAAAACCCTAGCCGCGCGCGGGTACTAGCACATCTGCGCGTGGCGTTCCGTCCCTGTACGTGTGGATACCGGTAGAGGCGCCGCTGGTTTGCGGTGCTGATCGGCGTGGGAGTACGGTGAGGAGAACGCACGAGGAGGAGAAGGTCGAGCCAGTGCGATCGACTACTTCCTCTACATCGACGCGCGCTACTTCGCGAGAATTCCTTCGACTTTTTAGCGCCTTTTTCCGCTGCGCAGCGTGTCGAGTGGTAACGATTTATGATCTAATACTTGCACGGTTCCTGGTTTACGCGATAGAAAATTTTAATTCATGCTATCGTAGCCTACGCGTATCCCAATAGCTAGTTCATCAGGTTTGGTGATTCCTCTGCTTGACTGACTGGGAGTTGCTCTCAATTGCCCTCTGCAATGCATGATCATCTTGTTCAATGTGCATAGAACGTTGTACCTGTAAAACTTTTTACAAACAAGAGATTTTTTACTGTATTCTGAGTTCGGAATCTCAATGCTGCAACTTATTCATGCTTGGATGGTCTCCGAACTCATAGTCCGTTCCGTTGCTTCCTGGTGCCTCTAAATCCCATATGTATTTAGCCAAGGCACATGCTAGCGAAGCAGCGAACCTCTAATTGTCATGGCAATCTCATAGAGAAAGTTATCAGTTGCCTTATTATTTCTTTTTTTTCCCCTCCACCCTCGTTTCGTTTTATGTACTGCTGAAGTAGCAATGCACTAAGAATATGTTTATATCCATTTGAAATGGTAAATGATACATGGCAAAAGTTTTGAAAGTAAAAGTTTTGGCATTGCAAAAGTACTAGTTGGTGTTTAGATGCATCCTAAAATTTTGCCATTTAGCATTTTTTGGTGAAGAGAGAGAGAGTGGTCCCAAAGCACTTTTTGGCACAATTTGCTAGTATGATCCTGTTTAGATCATCCAAAATGGTAAAAGTTTTGCTATTTTAGAGCACTTTTTGTCATTTTGGATCCAAACACTAGTAGCAAAAGTTGGCAATTTGCCATTTACTAGTCATAGTAGCAAATTGTGCTAAAAAGTGCTTTGGACCACTCTCTCTCTCTCCACCAAAAAGTGTTAGAATGGCAACAGTTTAGCATGCATCTAAACACCAACTATTACTTTGCAATACCAAAACTTTTACCACCAAAACTTTTGCCATATGTTATTTACCATTTCAAATGATCTAAATATGCCCTATGAACTAGCAAATGGCAAATGGCAAATTGTCAACTTTTGCTACTAGTGTTTAGATCTAAAATGATAAAAAGTGCTCTAAAATAGTAAAACTTTTATCATTTTGGAGAATCTAAACAGGGCCTAATACAAAGTACAATGTACTTTTGTACAGCCAGGTTATAAATTCCATAGCTTTAATGTTTTTGAAGCTGGACTTGCCGATAAATAATGTGGTTGGATATGTAGCGAAATGGTAGACGAGTAGCTCAATTACAACAAACTAATTACAAAATTTTGGGTCAACGGCATTTAATTTGTATTTTATCGCAAATGGTTATTGATTGGGAGAATAGCTAATATGGTCCCTAAAGTTTCACTCCTGAGTCATTTTAGTCCTTAATATTTCATATTGTCCAAATAAGTCCTTTAAATTTATCATGTGGGCTAATATAGTCCTTGGTTCCAAAAAATCGCCACATGAACATGCCATGTCACGTTCCTATGCAAAACTATATGATTTGTCCAATTTACCCTTACGCATAGGAAAATTAAAAATAAAAGGAAAAAGTTAAAAATATATATATATGATATATGTAAGAGCAAAAATATACATCAAAAGGGTGAAAAAAGAAGTATTTTTTTTCCTATGGTTATATCTAATTCACCCCTATATTTACTTTTCTATGATATACGTAAGGGTAAATTGAACAATTCATCATAGATTTTACATGAATGATGATATGGCATATCTATATGATGATTTTGGTGGACCCAAAGGACTATTTTAGGTTTTATGACAAAGGTTAAGGATTTCTTTAAAACATTTAAAAGGTTAGAGACTAACTAAAGTAGCTATTCTTCCTCATTGATTCATTAAACTTCGTTTAATTTTGTGAGTAGCAATAAAAGCTACAGCTTGCTTCTGCTCGATCTCTCCCCTCGCGGCTCGCGCTCTCCCCGCCGAGGCCCGGGGTCCTCATCAGCGACAGCGCCCTCTGCTTGGCCGCAGGCGGCGGCACCACCAGTAGGTTGTTGTTTCCGCCACCGCCCGCACCCTGACGCCGTCGCGACGCCGAGGACGCCCGCGGGTAGTTGTAGCTCCAGGTCCAGGCCTCCAGCACGGTGCCACGTGGCCAGCCATCAATAAACAAACCTTGGCTAGTACATTATTGTACATTACAAGTGTCAACTTTTAACTTTCTCCAACAAAAATTAAATGAAACGGGCCGGCATCTGAATTCGACTGATCCTCATTTTCATTGGCAAAGCACTCACTCTACTGTCTTCTCACTCACCGTTGCCTGCCGTTGGAATTTTTTAGCCCTGAGCCTGTGAGCCAAGGCCAATTAATCGATCAAATGGCCAGAGCGTCGGTCAGGTCAGGATACTATTTCACGAACACACACCAGGACGCCGACCAAAGCTATACAGGCATTTCATACTCCCTCCGTCTCAGGCATTTCATACTCCCTCCATCTTATAAAAAAACGAATCTAGGACCACATGTGACACATTCTAGTATAATAAATTTGGACATATATATATATATATGTTCAAATTCGTAATATTACACATTCGGTAATAAGTTGGGTTTTTATGGGACGGGGGAGTATGTCATATGCAAGCCTATAGCCTGAGTGATCCATTTCCATGAGACATACGTGTCGTGTTGGAAAACTAGAGAGTAGGGATCATGTAGTGCATGGTGTTTATTGGTGACCTTTTTTTTTTCCTGAAACGAACGTGACTTAAATATTATTGTATATATGCAGGCATTCTATGGTAGGTATCGAGAGGGTACAAAAATAGTGTAAAATTTGATCTCAAGACCCGATGTGCTGAAATATACTCCCCCGTTTCAAAATGTTTGACACCGTTGACTTTTTAGCACATGTTTGACCGTTCGTCTTATTAAAAAAATTTGTAAAATATGTAAAACTATATGTGTACATGAAAGTATATTTAACAATGAATCAAATGATATGAAAAGAATAAATAAGAATAAGACGAATGGTCAAACACGTACTAAAAAAATCAATGGTGTCAAACATTTTAAAACGAAGGGAGTAACAGATTTTGCCATAAAAAGAAGTGGAACTAGCCTGTACGTATCTTCTTAAACACCGTAAAGTCCATGTTGTATATATAGCAACAATGAAAAATAACGAGTAGATTGCAACCACGGTTTAACAACTTGCTTGGTGGGGTATGATATAATTTAATTTGAGAATTACGTCTGAGTGGAACAACTTGGTAAGTGAGTACATTCTAGTAAGAACTTGATAATGTAGTATTTTTGGTACAGCAACTTAGCTAAGTATGTGATGTTTTGCTTAACGAGTGCTAGGTGAGTTTTCTCAAATGTCAATATGGCATTACATAGCAATCTTACGGATATTAGAATTACATTGCAAATCCATTTTGCACCACTGGTTTGGATTTTTTTTTTCACCTTCTCAAATCTAAATCGGATTATAATATTTTCTATATAGTAAAGTTTAAATAAGTACTTAAAATTGAATTTGTATAAAAAATACTCATAATAATTAAGTTATCGCATCACCAAAATTGCACCAACTTTACAACTTATCGCTCACTTATAAAGTTCTTACACTAATTACACCCATATACTAAGTTATTGCATAAGGATACTCATTTCTCAAATTTTTGCACCAAATTGCACCCTCGTTACCAAGTTGATGCATCGTGAATGCAATTTATTCACAAAAATAATATAGTATAAAATATATTCAACTTTACGTTTAATGAAACTAAGGTGGTGTTTGAATCTCCTGAACATAAAGATAAAGATAAAGATTAAGTGTTTCACGTAAAACGAGATGGTAATAACGTGTGATTAATTGAGTTTTAATTATTACAAACTTAAAAATGAATTAATCTGATATATTAGAACAACTTTCATATAGAAAGCTTTCGCACGAAACGCACCGTTTAGCAGCTTGAAAAGCGTGCTACGAGTATCTAAAAGTTTATCCAATTTTTATTGAAGAAAAGAACCGGGCTTAATTGGTGTTGGAGATGTTGCTATATTTTTATATAAACATGATCAAACTTTAAAAATTTTGATTTAAAAAAATACATCTTGTAATATGAAATGGATGAATGAGATTTATTTTTCGGGCAAAACAACACTTTCCGTTACCTTGCAAATTTTAATATATTAATAAGTATTTAAAAGTGCACAGAATTAGGAATGCATATATTGGTCCCAAAACCAACAAAACTACCACTTACAGTAAGATCAAAGGTATCGTTATTTTTTTTAAAAAAAAGTATTTTTTTCCTTTTGAAAGTTCTATTGAGTATTTGTAAATTGTAAAATAAGTGTTCTTTTGTTGGATATAAGTATAACTGTAAATTTGTAATGGGCCGGCCCATATAGAAAGCCCAATAACCCATGACTACCACTTAGAAAGCCCAGCTCTAAAACCCCCTTCCTTCCTCAGACGAGCGGGAAGGAAACCAGCAGAGACGCGCGGCGAAAGGAAAAAAAAAGAAAACAAAAAAGAAAAACACGCGAAATGGCGGAGCAGTCTCACGCCGGCGACGGCGGCGGCGGCGGCGCGGGCTCCGGGGAGCCGACGAACTGGAGGAAGGAGGCGGACGATAGGCTGCGGCGGCTCCACTCCCTCCAGTTCGGCGCGGACGTCGCGCTGAAGGGCAAGGACCCCGCGGGGGCGCAGGTGCTCGCGCTCCGCCTCCTCGGCTTCCTCGACTCGCAGGCCCTCCCCGGCGACGGCGGCGCGGCGGGCCACGAGGCCAGCTTCGTCGCGCCCATCCGCGCCGCGGCGTCATCCAGCGTCGCCGCCGCCATCCGCGCCCGCGCCGGGAGGTCAGACAGGTACAAAACCCTACCCCCCCCCCCCCCCCCCAAACACAGCCACGCCACCCCGCGCGCTCTCCCGCATTTTCGCCCAAATCATGCGTTGAGACGGCTCGCCGTGTTTACGAGGGTCTCCTCGATTCGATTCGGGCGAAGAGTGGGAGCGATTTGGATGGATTTGCTTTCGCTATTATTCAGATTGTGCAAATATATAGAGCCATTAGCTGATACTGTAGTATTCACTTAATGTGGTATTTATATAGCTCTAGAAATCTGTGGATTTTGGAGAATTGCCGTGACTAAGATGAACTGGTACCGTGTGCACAAACAAGCAAGCTAAGTACTAGTGCCTCCACTGTTTGTGTTGGGTGGTTCTCGGGAGCTTGCTTTTATTTGTTTCCAAATACATTAAGCCATCTAATGTAATATTAGTATGCTATATACATTATATTTTGCTGGAATGGAAATAAAATAATACACGCTGCTCTTCCTCTTAGCATATAGTGTCTTTTTTATGCATGCTCTATGAAGCAAAACAATATTGACCAGAGCAGGCATAATGGTGCCGAAAGTCATGTGTAATTGTGGGAAAGTAATTTTTCAAAGCAAAGGGTACTCAAAGGTGATGGTCTATCTTCCACCATGATTAGTGGTATGTATATGTTGAATACATGTGGATCACATAATTCAAATTGCATATCCTGTTTAGGATTCGTTGCTCCCTATAGTAGGATTCAACCCACTAGACCTTGACTCAAGTTTAGAAATTGTTGTCTAAATAAATAGGGCCAAGAACATTTTTTCTTCTTATGTTGCACATTGCGTACTGAAATATTTTTGCCTTTTTGTTTGTGCTCATTGTTTAAGTGAGGAAGAAATCACCAGGTTACCACTGCGGCAATGGTTGACATCAGCCTGTGTTTTGGTTCAATTTTAAGGTCCTCAGATCATTCCATGTATGTGCTAAGCATGTTTGAATTGACTAACATATTCATATACCACTACAAGTTAGATTCAGATATAAGTGTTGCAGGACATACACATGTCTTCATTATTAATGTGCTGCGATCTGGTAAATAACGATTGTGGCGTTGCAGAAATCACTGTCAGGGCTAAGCAAGTAAGCATGAAAGTTAAGGAGTGTCATTTGTGAAAATTCCGCAACATCGAACCAAGTTCTGCAAGGATGAATCCAACTTCTGATATTTGTAGTCAAAATAATTTTATAGTAGAGATGGTAGCAGTAGCAGATATTATCAGGGTCAGGACTACTGGACTAGTAAATTTTTGGAAATGTGATTTCTTTTTGGTGGTGGTACGGATACCATATGCATTGGAGCATTAAGTTGCCATCACTGATGGAAACTGAGTGGCTTCTTGGGTTTAATCTTGAACAAATAGTTGTCTATTTCATTTTTGACCGGAAACAGTGAGGGAGGCCCCCACGGTATATTTTTCTTTATTTAAGTCTGAAATTCGCTCCCTTGGGGAGTTGAACCCAGGACGTAGAGGTGCTACTTGAGCAATGTAACCGCTAGAACAAATAATTGTCTGTTAAACCAAATTACTTTAGCTTTGTTCTGCACTGTTCAAGTTTATTTGTGATGCTCTGATGCATACTATCGTGATACTTGGTGTCAGTCCTCACTTTAGATGTTTTCGATTTCAGTGCTGTGTTTAAGCTTGCAGAAAAGGATGTTGGTTGTGTTTTTGCAAAGACAGGAGAAGTTAATATTGAAAAGATCAAGTGTTCAAAGTATTTTCAAGCACTTCTTCAGAAATCCAAAGGACATGCTGCTGAACAAATGGTACAATTCAATTTATGTTGTTAGGCTTTACGTGCTCAAAAGACCTTATTGTTCGTACTTCTCATTCTTAATTTTCTTCCTTCTTGAGGGACATCTAACCATTGCCCCATTTTTCTTAATTCTTTATTTACAACATCATTTCTGAAAGGTGATTTAACTCTTTTTAATGTTTTTTTTGTTGAAGCACCATATGAAGAAACACATAGCTTTCAACTTCCAATGTTAATTGTTTGCAAATTGTCATTGTTTGCTGGCTGATTTTATCATCATTTTCTCTTTTTGTGACATGAACTGAAATACAGAAGACCACTGATTGCCAAGAGTCCACCATTGAAGAAGGTCCGCATGTAGAGGAAAACTCAACTGATATGGAAAATGAGAAGCTTAGCATCAGGGCTTCAAAATTAGTAATGCAAAGAAAACTAACATCACTGCGTAGCCATAAGCCCCTGAAGGCAAATGTTGTACAAGATGGGAATATGTTCAAATCAGTGAGTAACATATCTAATGAGAGTGTTGCTGTCGAAAATGGAGTCAGAACAAATCATACTGATAACAAGTATACTGCTTATATGGATCTTGAAGATGATGACAGACCCCGTGGACTGTTGCAGAATGCAAAGCGAAAGCATGCAGGATTCAGAAGCCCAATCTGCGAACATGCAAATTCTCCATTAAGTAATGATGAAGCCGATGCCCCTGCCAATGAGTTTGTGACTGCCAGGACAAAGTTGGTACGCTCAGTGCTTTTATTCTATATTGTACAATTTTGGTAAATATTTAGAGTGCCTCTATTATTCTATGATCCTCCAACAAAAAGACATCGTAAGCACTAGTGGCATATGATAGTAGGTGTATTTAACTTCTGCATTTACTATTCGTGCCAAGACTCTTTCTATTATTTTAGCATCGCATAGTTTTGAAAATGGGTAGCTTCTTTGTTATGCTCGTTTATGCTTGCTGGTTTGCCACTGTGCCAAATCCTGTGCATTTCTTAATGACCATTGGTTGATGGCAAATCCATATCATTTAACTGTTCTTTTTTTTTTTTTACTTTTCTCTGTCTGCTGCATGCACTGCAGTCCTGAGCATTCTACACGTTACCTAAGAAAGCATCATTAGGTAACAGTTAGCTAAAGTTAGAAATAAAGTTCTACTTATGGCATAGCTTGAAACCATGATATGTATTGCAGCATATTCTGTGCGAATATTTTATTTGTAAAAACGACAATTTTCCAGATCCTTATGGTGTTTCTTCTGAAATCATATAATTTTCAAGAAAACTCTTTTAGCAAGAGAATTATAATTTATTTTTTGGTGCTAAACACACAATATTTGCATTCTGGTGAAACCATTTTTGTGCGCTATGTGGCATCTGCCTTGCTGTGGTATCGTTATTAGGAGAGCTTAGTATTGCCATTCTGGTTTATGTTGAATATTTTGTCAATGTAACCTTCACTAGCTGATGCTTCTGTTTTCTAGGAGATGGATTCTGTGCAAAAGTATGGGCATAATGGTACTCAAGGTGCTTCTGTATCCCCACAATGTGATAACAACCCAAATAACCGGAATTATGGTGTAAGGCCAACCTGGAATTCTCGTCGTGGATTACGTGGTAATTTTGTTCCTCCTATCAGAAATAATGGAGGATCCACTTCCAATATGACCTCACGGGTCATTGGAAAAAATGATGATTCAATGGGAGATTCAACAAGAAAATGGTCTGTATTTCCATCTTGATCATATGATACCATTTGAATTTACTTTTATCTTCATGTTATTGTAACAATTTACATGACATTTACATAGCTATTTATCTCGTTGCTTTTCTTATGTTTAGCATGACTACATCTTTTCCTTTTTTTTCTAAGACTCAGATTTATTGGTACTAGAAGCAAAGTACATGAGATACATTTCTTTGACTTCATTGCCATAATGTGTTTTTTGTTTTGCAATTGAGATGACTAAGATTATCACTATCATATTCAGTATGATTGCCTTTCTTACATCTGTTTGGTGATTTGGACACTGGTTTGCATTTTTTGCTGGGTATCCTTGTTGTAGACGTTGCTTTAAAGTCAATGTAGTGTGTTAAAGAACTAGGTAAATTTCTGGATGGCAATATTACCTGTCACTTAACAATTTCAGAACAAGAGTATGAATTGATCAAGTGGATATAGCAGCATTAGTATGATAATAGATATTTGCTAAATGTGAAAAAAAAAATTAAAAACTACTACTAGTTTCTATTAATACAGTGTGTTTGAAATTCCTTGACCACTAGTGCAAGCTAATCTTGAACTCCCAATGTGAGACAAGCATATGGAGTACCCATTAGGCCATTATTTTAAATAACTCTGTGTAGCCCTGATATAACGGTCATGATCCGGGGGTAGTTGTGTCTGCACAACAGTTGTCTGTGGCTCTATGTACAGTTCCGGGTCCACTGAGGCCTTCTATTTCTTGCTACAATCTGCTGCAGCCACTGTATAGTATGATGTGTAGCGCTTTAAACATATTTTTGGTTTTCATATGATTGATTTGTTGCATTGATTTCAATTTGCATTTTAAATCAGTAATCGTAAGCTTAAGATCTGCATGGAAACCAGGGTTGTTTTTTTGCCACTAAGGAAAGATCGTATCTCACTTTTGCCCTGTGCATTTTGTTTTTGCCACTGGGGCTAGCACAATAAGTGGCAAAAGTGAGATCTTCATACAACTTAAGTCATTTGATATCACAAGTGACAACTCTAACATTATTTACAGCTAGCTGAGAATGTTCCATTTTCTATTATCTATCTACTGTACAAAAAACACTTTGTTACACTCTCAAAACACACTGATCACCAAGTAATTGTTGGATGTTGAATGTGTGAATGAGTTTAATTGTCTTAAGAATCAGAGTGAATGCTCTCAGCCACTGTAATTACTCATCTGTCTAAATTTTGACATTTGTTTGAATCATTTATCTGCATAACTGAAGGCACATAGTTGAAGTGCGCTAAAAGGAGCATGAAAATTACTAATATCGTTTCTTATTGCATAATTCATTCTAGTTTGTCTGATGTGCTCAATAAGGAGCATTCAAATAACTAATATTGTTTCTTTCATTTAGCTTATTTTGCATCAATCATTCTAGTCTGTTTGATGTAGATTGTATATGCATAATTTGAGCTTAATCAATTTTCAGTATTCAACATAATTGGTGTTATTTATGTTCATATCTCACAAATGTATTTCACTATCATCAGTTTAGAAATGCTTTGTGGACCTGATGGTGAGCTTCCTGAGAAGCTGAGAAATCTGGAACCTCGCCTAATTGAGCATGTCAGTAATGAAATAATGGATAAAGATCCTAATGTCCGCTGGGATGACATAGGTACATAATTGCATTCTAGTACTTTCAGAACTTGTGTCTTGTAGCTAATTCATGCCAACCTGCAATAGCTGGTTTGGAACATGCAAAGAAGTGCGTGACGGAAATGGTGATATGGCCACTGCTACGTCCAGACATCTTTCACGGTTGTCGGTCTCCTGGAAGAGGTCTTCTATTGTTTGGACCTCCTGTGGGTATTTATCTCATCTGGTTATGTTGCTCTTCCCCCATTTTATTCAATTTAAAGATAAGTGCATTAATTTCCACAGGGAACAGGCAAAACCATGATTGGAAAAGCAATAGCTGGTGAAGCCAAGGCAACATTTTTCTACATTTCTGCAAGTTCACTGACAAGCAAATGGGTCTGTCTGCTGCTTGTTTTAATTTTCAACATAGTTCCATTTGTATCCTATAAAGTCAAGGCTAGTTACATCTTTCTGGTCTGCATATCTTTAATCAATCATAAAGGTGCTACGGAAAACAAATTCATTTGTTTATATGCTAATAAATCCATCTTATTAATGTTTTCAAAGAATTATAGTCTATATGGATTAGAACCAAGATTTAGTACAAGCGTGGAACATGCTTGTACTCCCTACAATTGTTTGTGATCTCTCTCACTTGCTAATTCTCTCATCCCAGCCTTTATATGCCCTCTCCTCAGAAAGTAGAAATCCTAATCTCTGTCAAACTATGTTTGCCCATTTTGTGCACAGTAATTATGCAATCTTTTTTTTTCAAAAAAAAATACATTATGACATAGAATGTGAAGGCATACCTTTAGATTGATAATGATTGTTAATTCTCCTGCTGTGCAGATTGGCGAGGGTGAAAAGCTAGTTCGAGCACTATTTGGGGTGGCCTGTTGTCGTCAGCCAGCTGTCATATTTGTGGATGAGATTGATTCACTACTATCACAGGTTTTTCTTAGTGAATTGTTTTTGTTATGCACATACATGTTGCATCAGTTGACACCTAACACCCTTACACATGATTTCAGCGCAAATCAGATGGTGAACATGAGTCAAGTAGGAGGTTGAAAACACAGTTTCTAATCGAGATGGAAGGTTTTGACAGTGGAAATGATCAAATTTTACTTATAGGTACCTCATGCGTTAAAAAGATGAAAATATCAAGTGTGATATGCATTAATGTATGTCATGGTAGGAATTACAGGATATTTATATGTATGAGGTTTGAGCATCAACATAGTATGTGCTTTTCTATTGTCCTTGTGAAATGCATTATTGCATATCCATCTTTGCCTAAAGGCCTATGCTTTGAAGTTGTGTTGCATAGTCTATGAGGTGGATGTTAAATGTGGGGTCATAACCAATGGTGGAACTTAGATTGGGCTGATGTCATGGAGAAAAAATGATGGCAGGAGCAACAAACAGACCTCAAGAACTGGATGAAGCAGCACGGAGGCGACTTACAAAACGTCTATATATTCCCCTTCCTTCATCAGGTAATGTTCTATTTCTGTTCTTATGGGGATAACTTCAGGAATCTCATTGTTCCATGGTTTATTTTAAAGAGGCACGGGCCTGGATAATTCGCAATCTATTGGAGAAGGATGGCCTTTTCAAGCTCACAGAGGAAGAAACAAATATTGTTTGCAAGTTAACAGAAGGTACTCATAATCATCCAGGTTTCTTCTTGTTGCTGCTAATTCTGAGGTATCATGCCATCTTTCTGGATATTTCTGCATCATTGGTTATCTGCAGGTTACTCAGGATCTGACATGAAAAATCTTGTGAAAGATGCCTCAATGGGACCACTAAGGGAAGCTCTTCAACAGGGTGTTGGCATAACAAAGCTAAACAAGGAGGACATGCGGCCGGTGATGCTCAAGGTACTACTATTCTAGTCAAATAAGTGCTGGAATCTAGATAGCTAGGCACTTATGATCACTAAAAGGATAAACAATGATTGCATTGTCTATTGCATTGTCAAATAAGTGTGTCCTTTGTTGCGATGAATCATTCCCAAAATGTAGCATTCCGATTTTAAAAGCTTATTTTGAATTTTGGATCTGTAGGATTTTGAGACTGCTTTGCAGGAGGTTAGACCTTCTGTTTCCTCAAGTGAACTGGGAACTTATGAAGAATGGAACAGGCAATTTGGGAGCTTAGCAAATTAATTTGCAGGGAGATGTTGAAAGTAAGTAAAACCTGAATAGTCATGCCAAAAGATAAGTAGTTTGATGCTTTTACTCAGTATATTGGACCTTCACTAATACTTGCACGTGCCCTTGTTATCATATTGTGTATGAGAACCAAGAAAAATGTGAGAAAACATAGGTCCTTAATAGTGATTGGCGATTTGTTGCTGGTAGTAATATTTAATATTCCAATAAAGATAAGTTGGGGAGCTTCTGTACTCCAAAGCAAAACTACACATTCTTAATCATTAGTCTGTTTCTGCTTTACTAATGGGTTGCTGCTTCGTTAGATCAATTACTCATTGCAGTGGACTGTCTAAGTATCAATCACTCCTTTTGTTTTTCCCACTTCTGATTCTTAGCTGGCAACCTTGATGCACCGTAGAACATTTTGTTCTGTCTTTTCGTTTCATTGAGTAAATATCTTGGAATTTTCTTTTAATGTAGTAGTATGTTGCATCCTACCATCACCAATCGAAATGCAAAATGTTTCTTCTGTATATTTGGTTTCATGTAAACTTTTGGGTGGATTTAACACATGAATTGGGATTGTGCAAGTCAAGCCTCTTAAATTCATGATGCTCTACTTGCAGCCTTGAAGGCGCTAGTATGCTTTCCCATGCAAAGCATGCGAAACATATGCTTGCGAGAGTCGACAGAGGACAATGAAGCATACCTTGTGCAGCCATATACCTTCAGACTACTTGTGATCACTGATGCAGGTGTTCCTTGTCTCTCAGCTGAAAGACTTCCAAAGGCGCTGCAAATCTGATGGTTTGGATGCGTGTTATTTTTGCTCAATGTCAAGTATGCTGGCAGTTGGTGATGCTGTATGAGTTGGTCTTGTGGTGCTTCAAAAGAAGCTACTTCGAGGAGTCGCAGGAATTTTCATTCTTTGCAAAGCAAGCTACCAATGTTCAGTAAAGCGGTGTTTATCTGTATGCATTCAGCTATTTTGTTACTATGGTGCTGAATGCATAATGCATATCCTAAATTCCTAATTATGATGTTATGTTTTTTTTTTTTGCTTTCTTGTGGTTTGTTTAATTCTGTCACAGATTCGATGAAACTGCCCTATGCTAATTTTGCCAAAGTCAAAGCGGTTACTCCCTCCGTTGGAAAATACCAAGTGATTAGTTTTTGACATGGTCTTTAGTATTGAACTTTGGCCATTAGAATTCACAGTTTCCATACTCAGATTTAACTGAAATAATGCCCTTGGGGTTGGGTCAAAGTGCGAGGCTATTATATCCTACATTTCATCTCTTGCCGCATCACCTTCACACAACGTTTCTTTTACCAGTTGCGTATCACATTCACCAGTACTTAGGTTAACTCAGATAAATTTGTAGGTACCATTTGGTCACGGTGTGGTATGCCTCGATATTGTATCCAGGGTACTCCCTGATATGGATCTTATTCACCATACATGATACTGTTGATGTAGCTGTATTTGGAGTTTTTTTTCGCGGGTCGGCTGAAAGATTGGCCAATCAAATTTCATTGAGATTGTAAGGGGGTGTTATATGTTATAGCGATTGATCATGACATTAGCTAAAACGGACTATTCATAACAATATTGAAATATGCCAGCAGTTCTCCAAATGGCTATTTCCTCTTTAATATCTCCAGAGCTTCTCTGCAATTGTTTTAACCTCTGCTCGAAAACTATCCCGTTGCGTTCCTTCCAAATGAGCCAGCACACCATCATGAAAAGCATATCGAGCATGTTCATGTAGCTCGCTCGAAAACAAGATTGCGTTTGCTGTCACCATTATGCCACATAGAAGACCTTGCTGACTAGGTGGGTCAAAGGCCACATTGATCCAATCTCGTAGCATTGTCCATACTCTGTTGGTGTACGACACTTGATGAACATATGGTCACAATCTTCCATCTCAGATTGGCACAACGAACAGCCATCCTCTCTTGAGAAGATTGTTAGCCATCAAGCATCATCCTTTTACAGCCAACCACATAAAGAATCTGACCCTCGCTAGCACTCTAATCTTCCAAAATAGTTCACCATAAGGACATTTCATCGTCGCCATAAAGAATAGGTTGTAAGCAGCGTAGACAATGAACTAGCCATTACTTGTCAGCTTCCAAATTATTGAATCCTCCATCCCCTATTGGATGTGAACATTCTAGAGTTCATCCCAAAGGAATAAATACTCTGCCAAGGCTCTGTTAGAGAGCGATCCTTGGAGATCTCTCCCCCATCTGTAGCCAACTATTCCTTGTCCCACTATCAGTCTTGACCTACTGACAAAGCTGAAGAGCGTAGGCATGTTACCAACGATGTTACCTCTCGGTAGCCAGTTCTCGACATGTTACCAGTGATGCTGCCCCTGTTTGGTAACCAATTCCCTCTTCAGAAGTTTGTATCTTGGCCGTTGCCCACCACATGTATCACTGTTGAGTTAAATATGTCTTGGAGATCCTTATTTCGTTTCCATCCTACCATCCTCCACGGCCTCCCCTTCTGCTCAGTTCGTTTGACTTCCAACTTTAAGCTAAGAGCTTTTCCAAAAAGAGCTAGATGCTTTATATATAGACATCTTCTCAATTTACATACAGATTGCTCTTTAAGCAATGAGATAGTACCCACCATTGACTTCCTCTTGCCCCTTGCACAGAAAAACCCTACATATTCCCTCAACATCCTTAATAGCCCACTTTGGTAGTTGCATGATTGACAATACATGCATAGGGATTGCCATCAGTACCTACTTGATCAGGCACATGCCACCATCTGGCAAGAGTAACTTCAACTTCCCAACAGCCACTTTCTTTGCCAACCGGTCTAGGATGGGTTGTAATTCAAGTTTTGTTGGTTCACGTACACATAATGGCAAGCCCAGATATGTAATTAGCACATTCTGAACAAGTTTCTCTGTTCTTCCGAGAATTGGATATGTGTGATGGCGCTTCTCGACAAGTTGGCGTGTAGCCTAGTAGCAATCCTAAATAGGTCAAGTGCTGCTTTGATCAGCACAGTTTTCGCCTTGTATCGACTTGAGGAAGATGACCGCGTCATCGGCGTACATCGAGATATTAGGTGCTCGACTTCTCATATTCACCTTATCAATTAGTCCTACAATAATGGCCTTGTGCCTCAATCCCCTCCTAGGCTTAAAAATGTCGTTATTAACATCATCGATTGCCACCCTTGTCTTATTTCTCATCAGAAGAGTAGCTACCTAGCTTCTCCATTTTTGCTCATACCCCTGTACAACACATGTTGAGACCAAATTGAAGATCTGGGATATATCTAACTTCAGGATTTAGGGTTTGGAATCAATGGTTCAATAATAGGTTCGTTGATGTTATTGTCAACCTTCGACGAGTGATACTTGTAGAACAGATGATTAGGGTATTGGGGTACGTTGGAACGAGGATCTACATATTACGACATCAAGCAAACATAAGACAAGAATTATACTGGTTCAGGCCCCTTATCAGGTAATAGCCATAATCCAGTTTATATGGGATTAATATGGAAAAGCCACAGAATACAATGGGAGTAGATGGATCCGACGATACCGACGAGATCATAGTCGATAGACTCGATGAAATCTCCCGACGATTTGGCTCTGTGGGCTTTGGCTTCGTAGACTATGGTGGGTGTGTTGGCATGAGATTCAATGCCTTGCATCCCTCCCAGGGGTCCTTTTTATATCGTGGATCATCTTGATCTCCAAGTAAGACTTGGAGACATCGGATCCCATATGTTATAATAGAAACTCTATCCCTACAGAGTATGACTTTGTAAATTAATCACTCGACCCGTAGAGATATTTTCCATAATTCATGATGGATTCCTACAACGCATACGAAAACAACCCGTGTACGTGAAGGTATACAATACTCGTATATTCCATAAGCCATAGGATAGGATGTATGTCTGATCCGTAACCTTGACACAACCACATCAGTTTGCTAGCTGCTTCGGCTCTAGGCATCGGGATCAGGGGTAAATAAGACCATTGTTGCTGTGATGTTTACCATTAGCACTATACACAGTAGCAGCTAAACGTGTGATCCATTCCCTCATAAATTAATTTTTGTAGGGGTATATTTATGAATTAAGTATTGCTAAAGGATTCGAATATAAAATTTCGGCCGAACTTGAGGTGCCTTTGCCCATTTTAAAATTAATAAAATTAAATCACCTCTTTGAAAAAAAAAGCACCTTTTGTGTTAGGCCACCAATTTTCCACAATTGTACGAGCAGTACACCCACGTCTACTCCCGTTAACCCCGTGTATAGACTCACTGACACGCCGGGCCCATCCCCGACCTCCTCCGTCCACGTCAGCAACGTCACGTGGCGCGCCCGCCACGCTGTCCCCATTGGCTACTTGCGCCCTACTCCGCCTACTCCCCTCATCTCCTTCCTCCTCCTCCGCCGCCGCCGCCACCACTACTAAAACCCTAGCTGCTCGCCTCGCCCACGCCCTCGCTCGCCTCGCCTGATCCCGCCGCGTCGTAGCAGCAGGCAAGCTTAGCTAGCGCCCGGATCCACGAAACCGAAGCTGTTTCTCCATTTCTCCGTGCGTTTCCGGGGTTTGAGATTTGACTTCCGTGTTGTCTGTCTCTTCGTCCGTGCAGGGCGGAGCCATGTCGTCCGGGAAGGGAGGTGGAGGCGGCGGCAAGGGAGGCGGAGGTGCGGCGTGGTTGGGTTGGGTTGGGTTGGGTTGGAGATTTGGGTGGGTTTTTGCGTTTTGTTCTTCAACTGATGATGGGGGGTTTGGTGGCGGTTGAGTTGCAGGGAAGAAGAAGGAGGTGAAGAAGGAGACGAAGCTCGGGATGGCGTACAAGAAGGATGACAACTTCGGGGAGTGGTACTCCGAGGTTGGTTTTTCTCGCCTTTTCCTTTCATGAGTTTTTGGCGAGGTTTTGTTGGTAGATTTGGGTGAATTTTAATGTAATGTGGGTGCGATGAGGTGTTCATGTGTGGAATTGAATTTAAAGGTGGTGATGTATTCGAGATGCGTGTGACAAGTTCTGGCAGGGAGTGTTGGTAGCTAATCGTTTGAACTTTTATTAACAGAGATTTACTTCTGCATCAGTGCAAATGTTGGTGGTTCTGTTAGTTGCTATTGCTATTGCTGGTTTTCTGAAACTGTTCTGGGTCAATTTACTCTATTCAAATGCTGTTGCTGAAGAGAGAATTAGTAATCTCCAAGGATATGATACTGTTATGTTAACTATATAAGTTATTTCGTAGCTGTTACTGGAGAATGGAACACACAGATTCTGTTTCTAAACTGTTATTGGTTGATTTATCCATTTATTAATCGCCATCCAAAACAAAACAACAAGCTCAAACATTTTTTTTTCAAATTCAAAATATATCTCATTCTTGCTAGGGGGCTTATAGAAGTTTTTTTTTTTTTTTACTTTTTGTTCCTTCAGGTTGTCGTTAACAGTGAAATGATCGAGTACTATGACATATCCGGTTGTTATATCTTGAGGCCATGGGCGATGGAGATCTGGGAATTGCTTAAAGTAAGTTTTTTCTCAATGCCTGCTTAAATTCAATTAATCAAGATGCTAATTTTTATTTATTTCCCTTTGCAATGAAATGTAAGTAGTCATTGTTGCCTGTTGTACTCTTGTAACCTAAGCATCAGTGATGATAACAAAAAGTAATCTCTGTCCACAAGTTGGTCTAGAGTGTTGCCTGAAGTATTTATCTTGTCAACCTTATGCACTCCTTTTCCCTGATTGACAGTTACTGCAAACATCACATTAACAAATCAGCTTTTCAAATGCTAATTCTGATGCCCTTTTGGACTAATAAGTTTATCTCAACATGTCTATTTTATATCATCAGTAACTTCTGATTGAGTTGTGTAAAAGTGTCGTTCTTAGCATCAAGGATCTTGCCTTTGTTTCTTTGTTTGCAGTTTATTAAGTAAAATGGCATTACTATAATCATGTTCTTTTTCCCTAAGTCCTATGCGGTTTGGTGCAGGAATTCTTTGATGCAGAAATAAAAAAGCTGAAGCTGAAACCTTATTATTTCCCATTGTTTGTCACTGAGAATGTCCTACAGAAGGAGAAAGACCACATTGAGGGCTTTGCACCAGAGGTGTGTATTTTCCCATGCTATTTACTCCATCATTCAGTATTTTACCCATTAGGATGTACGTCTGTCATTTGAGCATGTTGACAAACCTTCATGAAATGAAGCTAGCAAAAACTATTTGTAACGATTCCCTTTTCAGCCCGAAGTCTGAACACTCAAAAGATTTTTCTTGCTTGACCTGAGCAATATTTCTCAACTCGTTTGTGAGATAACCCACAATATTTCTCAATTAATTTGTGAGATAGCACATAAATTCATAGGCATGCGAACTATCTGACCTATGAAGCTATGACACTATTCATTCTCTTATTTGATTATTGAGGCAAACTAGACCTCAGGGCTTTGAATGTTTGACCCATAATTTCTCCTGAAGAAACTCCCTGTTTCTCTTATAAAGTTCCTAAAGGTTAGTTCTGGATAGATTTCAAATTCAAGCACCCAAGCCATATGAAATGATGCTCTTAATCACATGAACCACATGGCCTGTAAACCTGTTGTATGACCACCTAACTATTTTTGTGCTAGTCATGCAATTTGTTGGCACAGGCCACTGCCTTTCATGCAACACTTTTTCCTGGAGTATGATCATAATCACTGAGACTGAATAATTGAGTTGACATAGTTGTTAGAACTGTGCCGATGTCTAAAATGTCAAGTAAAAAGAGGTACTATCTATTGGACATGCCACGTGGTAGTGCTGATGACAACTATTATTTGTTCAATAGCATCTGTTTTGTTTGTTATAAACTGTTGCATACACATTTTACTTTTAGGCTATTTGTTGGAACTTGATACAGTAACATAGTCTTTTGTAATTCATCTTGCAGGTAGCATGGGTCACTAAATCAGGAAAATCTGATCTGGAAGCTCCTATCGCAATCCGTCCTACAAGTGAGACTGTCATGTATCCATACTTCTCCAAATGGATAAGAAGTCATCGGGACTTACCTTTGAGGTGTAACCAGTGGTGTAACGTCGTGCGATGGGAGTTTAGCAATCCAACTCCATTCATAAGGTAGTCAATTGTTTATAAACCCCTCCCTGCCCTATTTCCTCTAGTGCCTGGCTTGCAAGCTTTGTCCTCAATAGTGCCTGATTGCCTGCATCCTAACAAATCCGAAAAACTTTTTGCAAAGGAAGAATATGGATTCTTTTATGTGAAATGAGTGGCATGATATGCTTTCAAATATTCTGTAATCCTGGGTCAAGGGTTATCATTTTCTCTTTTCCCAAGAAAATCATGAAATAGCTCTTTTCTAATTGTGCTCGACATTACTTGAAACAAAAGGGACAAAGGAAGATAAGGGAATCTTGTTTTTGCAACTTTGGTGTTCATATGAATTTTTAGGTTAGGTTTTTCTTACATGTCCCACTCTCCAACATGGTTCTGCATGATATCCATGATATCCAATATTGTATATATTCCTATACTGCTCATGTGTTGTCACCTGCATGTTATGTCATTCATCAGTTTCATAACAATGAGTCAGGATGATCTCAATTTTCTTAGTGAATGTAAATACGAGCATTATCATACACCACCTGTTTCCATGATGGCGAATAGGTGGTTGACCTATGCACTAGGGAATAGGGATATATTCATCATCTCTGGCTGACACATTCTGTAACTATTCTCCGCAGGAGCCGTGAGTTCCTTTGGCAAGAAGGGCATACAGCTTTTGCAACTAAAGAGGAGGCTGACGAAGAGGTACTGTACTTGTTTTTGCAACCGCAGTTCATCAGGGTTAACTGCCATATTGAAGTGGGCTCGAATGCATGGATGAAGGGGGGATTCTTAGGAAAATGAGAATACTGTTCCATTATTCTCCCTGTCAGAACTAAATGATCACTAAGAAATTAGCTCTCCAATCAAGATGTGCTAAATTAACCTTAAGCTACTTTTCCAGCACTAGCATTTTTGCTGCTGCCTTGCCATATGAGCAATCTCCATAATCCATGGGCCTCCCTAATGGGCAATCTGCTGCCATTTGCAGCTGGCCATAACTTGCTCAGGGAATTTTTGGTTCTAAATAAGCAGCATCTTTTGTTTAACAAATATTGGTGTTTCTGTTGTAAACTATCTTTAAGTACTATTGTCCTGCTTTTGGCTAGTGTGAAGCAACAGCTGGCCCAATATCAATGCATAGTATTCTAGGAAGAAGATATTATACTGCTAGTGTAAATAGTCGTTTTGACATCAGTAATATTTCAATTTCATTACACTTCCTGAACCTTGTTTTACATTTTCGAATGTGAAAAGGTTGTATTTATCTCCAGTGGTTGCTTGGCACAAAAAACTATTTTGTAGAATATCTGATGGAGCGAACAGAAATAATGAGTAACGTGTTGTTAATTTAAAAGGATGCTGAGTTATTTTAATCCATGACAATGTTCAGGTTCTCCAAATTTTGGAACTCTACCGAAGGATTTATGAAGAATTTTTAGCAGTTCCAGTTTCTAAAGGGAGGAAAAGTGAGATGGAAAAATTTGCTGGTGGACTGTATACAACAAGTGTTGAGGTATTAATATGAAATGTTTGCTTCATTCCACCCGATTAGTTTTTCTGTAGTTACCCTGATGAAGAAGAGTACTTATCTTTATATTTAGTAATAATAAAATTTTATCATATTTGCAGGCCTTCATTCCAAACACAGGACGTGGTGTACAAGGGGCAACATCACATTGTCTTGGTCAAAACTTTGCAAAGATGTTTGATATCACTTTTGAGAATGATAAGGGCTCAAGATCCATGGTGTGGCAGAACTCTTGGGCATACACCACCCGCTCGGTAATTCTCATATATTGTTAAATTTTGGAATGTACCTGGAATTTTCTTCTTGTTTTGCCCTTTTGAAGTGGTAATGTTTTACAAAAGAAATGAGGCTTTTATTGTGAATGAGGAGCTAGCTTTGAGTGCTAAGCTCTCTGGTAATTTTAAAATACAGAATGCGCTAGTTTTTTAAATTATTATTTTTACTTTAATTCTATGTATCTGTTATTTCCAGTTGCTGAGTTCTCTACCCAAATTATGTTCACATTTGTAGTATTGACCCTATGCTTGTTTTGCAGATTGGGGTGATGGTGATGACACACGGAGATGACAAAGGTTTAGTGCTTCCACCAAGGGTGGCACCTCTGCAGGTCATTGTTATTCCTGTTCCATACAAAGATGTTGACACAACAGCTATTGTAAACGAATGCAAAAAGACTGTTGAGACACTGGAGAAAGCTGGTATTCGAGCAGACTTGGATACCCGCGAAAACTATTCTCCAGGATGGAAGTATTCCCACTGGGAGATGAAAGGCGTTCCTCTAAGAATTGAGATAGGTCCAAAAGATATGGCAAACAATCAGGTACAGAGGTCACACCATTTAATTTATTAACTTCATTGATCAGTGGCACATTAATTACTATAATGCTTCTAGGACTCTTCATAAAGTAGTTAATGATAAATTAATAATGCCTTCCATATCCATGATAGAATCCACAAGTTTATTAGTAGATCAGTGTACTTGTATAAATTGGTTTTTCTTGTTAGCATAAGATGAAGTGTAAATGGCTTCTTTGTTCTCTATTCCCTATGGAAAATATGATTAATTAATGGCATCAAAACAGTAAGTAGCTAATGAATATATAAACTAAGGGCACCTTTGTTATCATGCATTTTCCTGAAAACTGCTATATCTTTACTGTTAGAGAAAAAGAGCTAGTGGTGGTGGTGGTGATGGTAAGTCTGCCATACCACCACCATCACCATGGGTTCTGTGCATACATGCACGTGTGTTTCTTTTATCTGAATAATTATATCATTTGCACATGTGGTTCGTAATAATAGGATCATTTGTGAACTGATGATCAATCCGAAGTCTATATATTGTTCTTGAGTTCAGATTTTATATTTATCCTAGATCGTTGCAATGCATGAGTTGGCTAGTTCATTTAATAACCTATTTCTCCTCTTTCTACTTAAAATATGTTAATTTGATTCAATTAAGCAACTTTCACATCTTTTCCAGTGACTGAATGGTGCCCTCAACCATTTCTCATATAGGTTTGGCATGGATGGAGTAACTTTCATTTTGTTGTGCTGTTTAATTTGCTACTATTCCCTGAACCTTTATTCCAACTAATACTCCCTCCATTCCAAAATATAAAGCACAGCTACCCTTAGCCCAAAGACCAAGAAATAATTATTATCACCTTATAGTTTGGATTAATCTAATAAATGTAATTCATGCACCCAATAAAATTAGAGATCTTGATGGTGGAGAATTTAAATAATAATATTTTAGTAGAGAAGATGGGTTAGTTAATGGCATGCATGCATGCATGCCTTATATTATGGAACAACTTTAAAAAGTAGTTGTGCCTTATATTATGAAATGGAGGGAGTTAATGAAAACATCATCTGCTTTTCAGGCCCGTGTTGTTAGGCGAGACAATGGTGCAAAAGCTGATATTCCTACGGCTGACTTGGTTGAGAAAGTTAATGGGTTACTTGATGAGGTTCAGAAAAACTTGTTTGAGACGGCGAAACAAAAGAGAGATGCCTGCCTTAAGGTTGTTAACACCTGGGATGAATTCATAGTGGCTCTGAATGACAAAAAATTGATCCTGGCTCCATGGTGTGATGAAGAGGTACGTGAGACCTTTTTATGAGATCTCCCTCTCACCATGTTATTTTTTTAGCACTAGTTAACTATTTGGAATATCCAGTGTGTTCATGTTCTCTTCTACAAAGTTTTCTTTTGATTGCTGGGGCAAGGCGTATTTGTATATCTTTATTATATCTGTTGATTGTGGAGGGAGAATGGGAAGGTAGGGGTAACACCAGTGACCAATAGAAGTTTAAAGCACCGTCGAGCTTAGTTCAAAGATGGGAGTTAAGTAGAATGGAGAACGAAATGGGATAGCAAGGAGACTCAATGAGGTTTGCAATGTCTTGGTCGAGGGTCACATTCAATAGTACCTGCAAAATAATTTATTGCACTGTGATATCTGGAGTTCTGTTAGTTACTACCAAATATACTCCTGTGTTGCACTAGTTATTAACATAACATTATGAACTATTTACACTGGATTACTAACATTTTCTACTCAACATGGGCATCTTCCATTTTCGTGCTGGTTCAGGAAGTTGAGAAGGATGTGAAGGCTCGGACAAAAGGTGACCTGGGAGCTGCCAAGACATTGTGTACACCATTTGAACAGCCAGATCTCCCAGAAGGTATGCTTTGCAGGCAATAGCTAAAATGCCACAAATAGCCTGGGTTCACAATCTCTTTTGCTCGGTCTTTTACTGCATTTCTTGCAACGTATTCTTCCATGCACTTGTAACTAACCTTTTCTGATGCGGTGCACCAAAATTCAGGAACCACATGCTTTGCTTCTGGAAAGCCTGCGAAGAAATGGTCATTCTGGGGCCGCAGCTATTGATCTGTAACGGATCTCGGTTGTGATCATTCATTCCTGCTGGCGAAGCCGTTGATTCACCATAGACATGTATTGCAGTTTTCATACTAGCAAAGCATGATACACATACATCTATTTACCGTGCAGTTTTGCTGCTTGTCAGAAATCTTGACATTGGAATGTTTAAGTAACATCTTGTTTGGTTCAGAATCTTGTTTACCCAGCAACTTAATTGAACTAATCGTTGACATTGTGTTTTCCGTTACGTGTGGTCATCTTGATCGACCAGTCCTTCAAAATCTGATACACGTGAATGTGGTGCTCTCATATAGGGCAGCATGACAACATTGAAGAAAATCAAACAAAAACAAAATGCGCATAATTCATTTACACGCAAAGGAAAACTGCTTATCCCCTTTTTTTCAGTAAGCTGCAGAACTATGCCAGTCCCACAACAGAAAACACCCGCATAGCATGCTCTTTCTTTACATATCGAACAGACATGTTATGCAGTTGAAACATGTGTGATCTAATATATTCCCATATTTGGATCAACCTGAAAATAAATCCTGTAGAAGTGTGAAGGCCCCGCTGAAGGTTGCAATAGCTTTTGGCACTGAATTCTTGAGAGGATAAAAGTTCCAGCACCTTATGCTCACAAATGCAAAACCTTAACCGATTCAGCAGACCACTGTAACCAAATTTTTACCATACCATCCATTCCTCTTGCACAAATTTTTACAAAAAGCTGGTCGGCAAGATCACAGCAGCACAAAACTGGCTGGACACAGCAATTAGCAGCATCAAAACTTAAAAGGAATCTCTTTCCATTTAGTTACAGCATACTGTGCACAGCCAGTTTATATCTGCTGCCATTCGTTGCTCAGGCATAAAACTACGAAATGACAGCAAAGAAACCATGAAATGAGAGCAAACACGGCTGCTTTGGCTGTGTTTAGTTCAGCGCAAAGTTTGGATTTTGGTTGAAATTGAAGATGATGTGACTGAAAAGTTGTGTGTGTATGACAGGTTGATGTGATGGAAAAGAACTGAAGTTTGGATCCAAACTTTGGATCTAAACACAGCCTTTATTTGGCAAAAAAAATGCATTATTAATCTGTAGCGTCTTTGAAATACGAGAATAAATCGGCTATAAGAAGTTCATGTGATACAAGAGGTATTTTGGGTGGCACTCTTAGATCAGAGGCTTGAGGATTTCAGATCTACAAAGGCGCAAAGCTGCAAACATGAAAACTTCGACAAAGATACTAACAGATATTCAACTTACGACTGAGAAAATGGTAGCTGTCTCCTGCAAAAACAGACTACAGAAAATAGTGGTCGACCGGTTCTGTTTCCTTATCGAATTTCTTCAGCTCCAGCAGAGCGCTCCAGGTGGGGATTCAGAATTATGCAACCGCGGGCATGTCTTTGAGCCATGCATCAAGCGGCTTGCCGATAGAGTAGACAATGAAGCCAATCTCCCTGAGCTTCTCAGGATCGACCACATTGCGCCCATCGAAGACAAATGCAGGTTTCTGCATGTTGTCAAAGATCCTCTGGTAGTCCAAGGTCTTGAACTCGTCCCACTCAGTGAGGATGCACAGTCCATGGGCTCCCTTGGTGGCCTCATACGCATCCCAGACCACACTCACCTGCTTAAAAGCCGTGGGGCTAGTTGGCTGCAGGTGCCTTGGGTGGTCCCAATCAAACTTGGCCATGGAAAGGTCCCGCTGGATCTGATCTTCAGTTACCTGTGGGTCGTAGATGCTGATTTGAGCCTTGTCACCCAACAGGCCATGGCACACATCAATGGCAGGTGTCTCCCTGGTGTCACCGGTGTCCTTCTTGAACGCAAAGCCAAGGACGGCAATCTTCTTGCCAGAGACAGTGTTGAACATGGAGGCCACAACACGGTTGACAAACCGGCTCTTCTGGTAGTCATTAATCTTGATGACCTGCTTCCAGTAGTTGGCAACCTCAGGAAGGCCATTGCACTCGCAGATGTACACGAGGTTCAGGATGTCCTTCTGGAAACAGGAGCCACCAAAGCCGACACTGGCATTCAAGAACTTGGGGCCGATTCTGGTGTCTTTCCCCACAGCATAGGCCACCTCGGACACATTGGCACCAGTCGCCTCACATAGTGCAGAGATGGCATTCACAGAGGAGATTCTCTGCGCCAAGAACGCATTGGCTGCGAGCTTGGAGAGCTCAGCAGACCACAGGTTGGTGGTGATAATCCTGTCCTCAGGAACCCAATGGGCATAAACTTCCTTGAGAGCCTGAACAGCCTTCTTTCCTTCAGGAGTCTCCCGGCCACCAATGAGCACTCTGTCTGGCTTGAAGAGATCTTCAATCGCAGTGCCCTCTGCAAGGAATTCTGGGTTGGAGAGGATCTGGTAGTTGATGCCCTTGCTGTTGTGGGTCAAGATCTTCTCAATGGCCTCTGCGGTCTTGACAGGGACAGTGGACTTCTCAACAACGATCTTGTCAGACTTGGAGACATCAGCAATCATCCGAGCAGCACTCTCCCAGTAGGTGAGGTCAGCAGCCTTGCCTGCTCCAAGTCCACGGGTCTTGGTAGGGGTGTTGACAGACACAAAAATGATGTCTGCCTCAGCGACATGCTTCTCGACGTCCGTACTGAAGAAGAGGTTCCTGCCCCTGCATTCCTTCACAACCTCATCAAGACCGGGCTCGTAGATTGGGAGCTGGTCGCTGTTCCAGGCATCAACGCGAGGCTTGGAGATGTCAACAACCACCACCTCAATTGCTGGGCATTTGAGGGCAATGACAGCCATGGTTGGGCCGCCGACATATCCAGCTCCGATGCAGCAGATCTTCACCATCTTTCCTGCTTACTGCAAACCTGCCATATAAATTAGATTTTGAGGGAGATTGCAGAGTAGTAAACTGAAAGGAATGTGCGCATTTCTGAGTGAACATAAGCAGCCGTGTTTCGCAGATCACAAGCACACCAGCCAGGATCCCGAAATAAACATGTGAAGAGTGCAGGACTGTGAACTCTGGTTCTGAGAAAGCTACCACCCAACTGAATGGAGAAAGAAACAGCAGTAGTTCTGGGAAGACGGTCAAACTACTCCTAAGTCCTAAGGACACAATACCAAATCCATTGCTGCAACGATTCTATCATGACTACACAGCTAAAGAAGGCAAAATCGACAGCAAGCGAAATGACGAATCTAAGAGGTAAACTAAATAAAATAAACTTTGATTCACATATGGGTGAAAGGGAAATGATATCCCCCAGTTCCCAAGACAGTAAGTATCAATATCTTTATGGATCTTCAGAACGAACAGCTAGATCATGGAAGGACATGCCAAACTACAGATGTTCAGAACAAACTACAAACCGAAAAAAGGGATATCTTGAGGAGAAAATCCTCACCAGATCTCACCACTAGACAAGAAAGAAAGGACAGGAAGATCTATGCTATGCAGAGGCACTGCCTAGTTCCCCAAGTTGTCACTTTTGTATTCAGAGGGGAGCAAACCCCAAGCTCTTTATATCATGCGCCCTCCTCTCCACAACCACACAACTCACCACAAAACAACTGGATCTACCCTGGCCTCCCGGTAATTTCAGGTTGGTCAGAGATCACAACGCACATCAACAGCAACAGCAACATCAACATCAACAGCAACAGCAACAGCAGGTTGTCACATTTAGCTGCACAAAGTGCAAGTCACGCAAAGCTATTTATGCATAAAGGTTTATTCCCATCAGTGCAAACAACCAACCAACCAACCAACCTGGAAATCGAATCGGTTGCAACCGCAGACGCAGGAGAGGCTTCGAGCTAACTAACTAACTATAAACAACTAGCCCCCCATAGTAAGAGAAAAAAAAAAGAAGCTTAAAGGCTAAAGCTGCGGCCTTTGAGTGCGCACGAGGCATCCAGTTCTCCTCCCTCGGCTCAGCTGGTAGCCCTCCTGAGATATACTACGACGGCGGAGAGTGAGGAGGGTGGATGGAGGATGGGGTCAGATCGGGAGCCCACCGTGGCGTACGTCGCGGGGAGCGCGGATCAGGATCAAGGTCGGTGTCGGTGTCGGCGCGCGGATCGGCGACGGACGGCGGCGAGCGGATCGAGATCGAGGTTCGTCGCCGGCCTAGCTGCCTCGTCGGCGTCGGCGTCGAGAGCAGCGGCGGCGGGGAGGGGGGAGCGGCTCCAGACCGAGGAGGAGAAATGTTTGGACTGGGAGCTTACTACTGCTCGGCAACTCAGCACTTTTTTAATTATTATTAAAAAAAACAACAATTAGTTTAGGTCATTTTTGTTATCAATTTTTCGTTACCAAAATTTTACTATTTATCCAAGCTTTTCACTTTTAAACTAGATAATTTTGCTGTTTTTCTACTACCTTTTTTCTAAAATATTTGCATTATAAAATTTAGTAAACACGGATAACTATAATAACATACTGAATAAAAGAAAGGTTGGCGCCAATGGGGATGGAAAGATGGTAGGACAGAAGGCAGGATATCTCTATCTGACTAATTGGATGGGTTTCATCTTATTACAAATGCTTTTTTTATATAAAATTTAAATGGTAGAAATACAATTATTATAAGACAGATGTATGGTAGTAGTTCTGATCACCTAAACCACTTCTTGAACACATCAATGACTGGTCTGACGATCAGCTTCAACATGCTTGCGAGCTCCCCTCACCTATGTGCCCAAGCTATATAGTTTGCTAAATATGGCTTAGAAACGATAATCAGGGTGATCCAAAGTAAATTAAAATAACAAAAGTACCTAGTCTGAAATAAAAGGATTAGACAATGGATAAATTTTGGTGATAAAACTTGATCTAAACTACAATTTGGAATTCCAGAGATGAAATACTACTACAATTTATTGACTATTAGACATGCTAGGACTTTGTGATCAACCAGAGTCATGAAAAGTGTGAATACTCTAATCGAAATGCAGTTTGGGCTAACTGTTATAGCTAAAATTTCACTCTGGATCATAACTTAATCAATCCTTTTACTTTTCACCTTGAGTACCTTGTCTTTTTAGAAATTTGGATCACCCCAACTCTCATCTCAAATACATCAACAGTCTAAAGTACAATAACACTTGCACATTATTGTCTTTCACTTACGTGCAAACCACATCAATTCTTTGATAGAGGAGAGAGTGGATGTCACTAACGAAGAAAGTTGAGGTGGTCGAAAGTAAAACACATATAAAAATTTTTAGTCCAAAGTAAAAATATTGAGTGAAGAGCCACCATTTAATAATTATTTAAAGAATATCTATATGCGTAGCCTACATACATCCCTTATGAGGATTTGTTTTAGAAAATAGCATATTTAAAATAAAGGAATTTAATATGAAACTACACGTCAAACTGGTAACCAAATATTTATATATATTTAAATGTGTTATACACATAAAGTCACATGTTATGACCTATGATAAGGATTATTTTCAAGGGATTGTAGGATACTATAGAAGTAATTTGTGAGCACATTTCTGACCTAACTGAGACAATTTGGATTGAAAATTTTCGGATGGTTGTGTGTTAGTGTTGGAAATATGGTCATATATCGGTATATTTTAATCCAAAATATTAAGACAATAAACATGACATGAACAATGTGAGGTGATCTAGTGATAAAATTAAACATAACCAGGAGCATGCTTAAGATAAAATAAGCATCAACATCATTTAGAGAACGCAATAACATTGCGACTAACAGATGTAACAAAAACAGAGATAGCAGTAGGATGGTATACCCTGTAAAGGTCCCTCCGCTGGATTGTGAGACAGAACTGCCTCCGTTGGTGTTGTCGATCGGTGCGACTCCAGTTCCTGGCGCACCTCCGTTGACGCCGCCACCAGTAGACATTGCCGCGACGCATACCGAACAGAACCACCGACGATGATGAAGAGAGAGCAGTTGTACGGAAGCACTCCTTAAAAACCTGATCACCCGCCTACCCGGTGCAGATCTCAGGCGAAGGTGTGGTTTCGGAGGCCCTGCTCGTTCCGATCATTCGTGCGCGCAAGCAATCAGAACCGGGGAAGCAGAAGCAGCACAGGCGCAAGCGTGGAGGAAGAACCAGCGATGGGAGAAAGCGTAGAGATCTGATCGGAGGAAGAACCAGTGATGGGAGAAAGCGTAGAGATCTGACCGGGGGTCTCTATTTCCTAATAGCGTCGGAGAGGAATCCGCACCCGTTGCGGACGCGACGCACGCCTCGCCTCGCCCACGGCCGGCTCGGCTCGGCGCGCGCGCGTGTGGCTTTCCGATCCCCACCTCAACCGGTTAACAGGTAGCCTCCAATAACTCTCTATTTAAGTTGAGATACTCCACTTTTAATTCTCAGGGCGATATTATTTTCTTTAACATTTATTATGGGCCCTTGAGATTTTAATAGAAAAATCGGGCCTAGCCCATTTATTCTAACAGTTAGTTCAGTTAAAAAAACAAGTGGTTATATGTTAGCCTACTGCCCCTGCTCACGTCTAATTGCCGTTAATGTTTTTTTTCTCCTAACATATTTCTATATTTATAGGTCCTTATATACCTGGAACTAAAATTTCATGAAATTCCATGGTACACTTAAATACCACTCGAATTTGCCGTGTTCCCTTTTCTATCACTACCGTCCAACTCCGTTATTTGTTCCGGGTTTTCTTTTCTTATTTGTGAAAACATTTGTGTTAAGTACCAGAGCTGCCCCTCCTGGTCAAGAATTGGGAGGCAAGTTGTGACCCTTGTCGCTGTCTAGCTCCGGTCACCGGATCATCTCCGGCTCTCTTCTCCAGTGGTTGGTCAGAGGAGAGGCAGCACCAAAAAAATTGGACCAATCTTTTCATTCAGTTACAGCATATTACACATTTATTGCCGAGCCAAAAACAATGAAACCAGAGCAAACAAGACTGCTGCAGTTTGGCCAAGAAAAAATTGCATCATTAATCTTTAGCGACACAAGAATACATTTGAAGAATAAATCGGCTATAAGAATTCATGTCATCATACAAGATTGAGGGTGGCACTCAAACGGTAGAGGCCTGAAGATTTCAGATCTACAATGGTGCAACACAAGAAAAACTTGAACAAAGATACTAACAGAAATCAACTTTCTGTTTGACAAAATGGTAGCCTCTCCTGTATGTAAAGACGAACAACGAGCTATAAAAAATGATGGTCAACCAAATTCCTCTTCGACGCAGACTCTCTTCAGCACCAGCAGAGTGTAGAGAGCTATGAGGTTCAGGTGTGGAATATGGAAAATTATTATGCAACCGCGGGCATGTCCTTGAGCCAGGCATCAAGCGGCTTGCCGATGGAGTAGACGATGAACCCAATCTCCCTGAGCTTCTCGGCATCGACCACATTGCGCCCATCAAAGACGAATGCAGGCTTCTGCATGTTGTCAAAGATCTTCTGGTAGTCCAAGGTCTTGAACTCGTCCCACTCGGTGAGGATGCAGACACCATGGGCCCCCTTGGTGGCCTCATATGCATCCCACACCACGCTCACCTGCTTGAATGCAGTGGGGCTGGTCGGCTGCAGGTGCATCGGGTGGTCCCAGTCGAACTTGCTCATGGCGAGGTCCCGCTGGATCTGGTCCTCGGTGACCTGTGGATCGTAGATGCTGATCTGTGCCTTGTCACCCAACAGACCGTGGCACACATCAATGGCTGGTGTCTCCCTGGTGTCACCGGTGTCCTTCTTGAACGCAAAGCCAAGGACGGCGATCTTCTTGCCGGAGACTGTGTTGAACATGGAGGACACAACGCGGTTGACAAACCGGCTCTTCTGGTAGTCGTTGATCTTGATGACCTGCTTCCAGTAGTTGGCCACCTCGGGAAGGCCATTGCACTCGCAGATGTACACAAGGTTCAGGATGTCCTTCTGGAAACAGGATCCACCAAAGCCAACACTGGCGTTCAGGAACTTGGGGCCAATCCTGGAGTCCTTTCCCACAGAGTAAGCAACCTCGGCCACATTGGCACCAGTCGCCTCGCATAGGGCGGAGATGGCATTCACAGAGGAGATCCTCTGTGCCAAGAACGCGTTGGCTGCGAGCTTGGAGAGCTCAGCGGACCACAGGTTGGTGGTGATAATCCTGTCCTCAGGAACCCAGTGGGCGTACACCTCCTTGAGAGCCTGAACAGCCTTCTTGCCCTCAGGGGTCTCCCGGCCACCAATGAGCACTCTGTCAGGCTTGAACAGATCTTCGATCGCAGTGCCCTCCGCGAGGAACTCCGGGTTTGAGAGGATCTGGTAGTTGATGCCCTTGCTGTTGTGGGTCAAGATCTTCTCAATGGCCTCTGCAGTCTTGACAGGGACAGTGGACTTCTCAACAACGATCTTGTCAGACTTGGAGACATCAGCAATCATCCGAGCAGCACTTTCCCAGTAGGTGAGGTCAGCAGCCTTGCCTGCTCCAAGACCACGGGTCTTGGTGGGGGTGTTGACAGATACAAAGATGATGTTCGCCTCGGCGACATGCTTCTCCACATCAGTGCTGAAGAAGAGGTTCCTGCCTCTGCACTCCTTCACGACCTCATCGAGGCCAGGCTCGTAGATCGGGAGCTGTTCGCTGTTCCAGGCATCAATGCGAGGCTTGGAAATGTCAACAACCACCACCTCGATTGCTGGGCATTTGAGGGCAATGACGGCCATGGTTGGGCCGCCGACATAGCCAGCTCCAATGCAGCAGATCTTCACCATCTTCTCAGCTTAGTTCTGAAACTGTGATAATGAAAACTGATTTTCAGGAGATTGAAGAATAAGCACTAAAAGTAATTATATAGATCAGAACTTGTAAGCAGCATTTTTGAGTTAATAGAAGCTATCTAGATACACAGTTTACAAGCACAATGACCAATATGTCAAAAGAAACATGCAAAGACTGCTAGGCTGTGAAATACATTTAGTCAGGTTCTGAGGAACACAATTAAACTGATAAACCAATGAGCAGTTCATGATAATAATATGTGCCTATTGGTGTCAAACTGCATCAGGAGAATGACAGATGGAGATCCGTCACCACAACAACACTAACAAAAAGTTTAGCTAACGAATTCAAGTTACGAGCAGAATAATAATGCCTCTAATTCATCAACGACGACAGCACTGTAGCAAGCAGTAAAATAAAAGGAAATAGTTCCAAACAGGGGTGAAAGGAAACAAATTTAATGGCACAAACACAGAGTAAATCAAGTTACTGAATCTAGCAAGGGATCATATATGTGCAAGGCATGAATCTCAAGCAAATTCAGAGATTCACAGCATTAAGTATCTTGAGATGAACAACTAAAACAGGAAACCACACAGCTTGCATGGTCCATACTCGAACTACAGATCAACCGCAGAAGTATGCACGAGATCATGAAGAATCTTACCAGATCTCAAGAACTTAAGACAGATCTTGAGGAGAACACCGACAGAGAAGAGAAATGGGAGGCAGCCTCTTGTATGCAGAGGGAAGCTGCCTACGATATGCACTCAGAGGGAGGCCTCAGCTCCTTATATGCCCCTTCCCACAAACCCAGCAGATCAGATCTACCCCCCCTCCGAAAAATTTACCGTGTCAAGGCTGGTCAGAAATCTGGAATAAATGAGCAGGTGTGAGTTGGTCTTATGCTTTGCCAAGAGGCCACCAAACCTCCACTAATCAAAAAAGGTTCCCATGAGTCCATGACACACCACCAAACCTCTTTAAGCTAACCAATTAAGAAAAAAGAACAGCTAATTAAAAAATGGTTGCTTTGTCATTATGGTATAATTGAACAGCATGTGATCAGATTTGCCACCATCTTACGCATCTATCTCTACTGCCATTCGGTGTACACAACTAACTAAAGGTCAGACATGGGGAACCGAAATGGCTGTCTACATGCAACCCATGAAGCTACATGTAACAGCATCATGTAACAGCATCATGTACAGCTTGGGATAAGTAAATTAACAGCATTTTAATATTCCATAAGTCAACTACAGCAGCAGCCAACTAATTATTGGGGTCGGTCAGAACAACACATGATGCAAAAACCCAGGCTGGAAAAAGTTACCGCGTTAGATTGGGATGTAAGAAATGGTAAAGCTGTATCCATCCATCAATCCATCCAGTGGAAGCAATAGAATGCTTCAGAGCTTGGACACCGTCAAATTCAGCAAGTTGATGGCTTGAGGCTGATGCCTTCTCCAACCAAACCAAAGCAAGTGTATCATAAATTTTTTGCACTGGTATGATAACTGGTTAAGATGCAGAGACTGAATCTTCCATAGCGAAAAAAAACTCCAGCATCCATGGTAGCAAAAAAGAAAAGAAAAGAAAAGAAAAGAATAACTCTGAAGAAAATTCTGCAGAAAAACGTGTGAATTCCCGGAGTTTCAGGTCGCTGTCATCTGATTGCTGCAACTAATAATAGACCAAGAAAACTCCCGTTTTCTTTCTCCCATTCACATAGCGGGAGACGTCGGTGGCGGCGTGGACACACCATCAGGGCAGAGGGTCGCACCAGAGTGAGGAGGGTATGGAGATGGAATTGGATCGGGAGCGCACCGTCGCGTGGGGAGGTGCCGGCGGCGCGCAGATCCGGGTCCGGGTGGGCGTCGGCGTCGGCGTCGGCGGCGCGCGGATCGAGGCGGAGATCTGGACTCTCTTGCGGCGCGTGGCTGGCCGTGAGGGTTGCTGGATGGGTCGGCACCGGCGGGTGAAGAGACGGCGGCTGCTGCGGTTGCGGGTGGTGGTGGTGGTGGCGGTGGTGGTCGCCGGCGGCGGCGGCGAGCGAGGAGGCAATGGAGGCGGGCCCGTGGTGGGTTAGGGTAGACGAGGCCCAGGCTTAGGTAAGGCCCCGAGAAGGCCCAATAGGCCCATAGGTGGACTGTGTCTGGCCCAGCTTGCCCAAACAGGAAATGGGCCCATCTACCTAATGGCCCAGTTCTTAGCAGAAGAAGTAAGAGCGAACTCTAATGGGCTGCCTATTTATACCTCCTTAGGAAAAAGTACACTGAAAAATCATCCCTCAACCCAAAAATCAGATATATAACATCCCTTAACATACAAAATTGGGTCACTCTAGGTCCTTGGGTGGTTTTGACCCCGGTTTTGTCCTACGTGGCAGCTGAGTTAGCATGGGGCCCACGTAGGTCCCACATGTCAATGACTACTTCCTTTCCTCTCTTCTGGCAATCGGTGGCGTGGGAGGACTGAGAAGCGTGGCTGACGACAGGCGGGGAGAGGAGCGGAGGTGGAGACGGACGCGGCGGCGGCGCCACCGGCGATGGCCTCGCCCTCACCTCGCTCTCCTCTCTGCTCGATGAGAGGCGACTCAAGCGCTCGCCCACGTGTCCCCCTGGGTGCTGCGCCCTCCGCCGCTCCCAACTCGGCGGTGGTGGCCCTCATTGGAGGTGCCGGCCGACGAACAGGATCTGCGCAATGGGAGAGGAGGACGACGTCGGGCAGCGCAACTGGAGAGGAAGACAACATTAGACGGCGCCGGCTTGTAGATGAAGCGTGCCGCCCTCTCCCCGTCGGTCGCTGCACCAATCCCAACGCTCGCTTCCCACCGAGGACGGGCTTGAACATGGCGGCGGCGCGGCCAGTCGAGGACCGCCCGTGGTCGGAGCAGCCGCTACTGGAGCCGTGCAAGCAGCGCCGCCGCTGAGAGCTTGAGGGGTGGGAGGGATGGCGCAAGGACGGAGGAGGACGGCCGGAGCGGCTGCTCATTAGGGCTCGACTTCGACGACAATGGCGAGCTCTTCTCCATGGGTCGCTCTTCCACTGTGGCTCATATGGGCTCGCTCTTCCACTCATCTCCCTGTCCGTCACCGCGTGTCTCTCGGCAGAGCTGCAGTGGGCGCCAGGTCACGGCCGGAGCGGGCGAAGTGGCGACGTCGGCGGGCGAGCGCGGCTACGGAGCGGCGACGGTGGGTAAGCAGCGGCTCTGGACGTGGGTGGAGCAGAGGAGCGGGCGAGTGTGGCGGCGGTGGGCGAGTGGCAGTGGTGGGCAATACCGCTCTCGGCGCGCCACCTTGTGCCAGCGCTCCTCCTGCTTGCGCACGCTGAGGTGGCCTCTGACCGAGCGTGGCGCCTCGATGCCCCCAAGCCGCCGTCGTCCCCCGTGCCAGTGAACCTCGCAGAGCCCTTCCCGTCGCTTGTGTCATCTCGCCAAGAGCGGTCTTGACATCTCACTCGCCGCTGGTGCGTCGCCCCTTCTCCGGTGTTGCCGCACCACCACACCACTCGTCGTCGGCGACCCTTTCCTTCCTCGCACCCATGGTCGGCCCGTATGAGAAAACTGGGAAAGAGAGAGAGGAGAAAGGGAGATAAGATGAGGAAAGAGATGATGATGACATGGACACCCTGACTTGTGGGCCCACGCGGGTCCCACGCTGAGTCAGCTTTCACATCGGACAAAACCAGAGTCAAAACCGCCGAGGGACCTAGTTTACACTGGTTTTGTAAATTAGGGGATGCGTTGTATCCGGTTTTGTGTTTGGGGGACGATTTTGCAACTCGATGACAAGTTAAGGGAACTACGGTGTACTTTTTCCTACCTCCTTAAGCTGAAAGTTAGCGAAGAGAGTCCAACTCAGCCTCTAAATAGCGAAATCGCTTTCGCGATCAGCCGCCGGCCCGCACGCACGATCACTCTGATTCTTTGTTTTTTTTTTTGGAATAAGTTCATTTGACATCCCTTAACTTGTCAATGAATCCGATTTTCGTCTTTCAACCGAAAAACCAGATACAACGGGTCCCTCAACTATCAAAACCAGTGCAGATGAGGTCCCTCGGTGATTTGGATGGCGGTTTTGGCTGACGTGGCGCTTACATGGCTAATTTGACTCGGTCTTCATCCGATGTAGCATTGACATGGCGCTTACGTGGCTATTCGATCCGAAAAATAATAAATCTCATGGGACATGTCAGTTTAAAAAAAATGAATTAAAAAATGGTGGGTAGCATTCTCACCCCTCCTCTCTCCCCATCTCTCCCCTCTCCTCTCTCCAGCGCCACGGGGTCACGGGGGAGGTCCGGCGGCGGCGGCCGACGACGCGGGGAAGGGCGGGGCGTCAGTGGCAGGAGTGTTGGGGGACTCGCCGTAGCCCACCACGGTGACGCCGTGGTTGACGTCGGCGGACGGCGGTGCACGGCCCTATATAGACACCGCTGCCGTAGAGCTGGAATATGAAGTTGCCGGCGTCGACGGTGACGGACACCGGCTGCGCCGCCACGGCCCTCGCCAGGTCGGGCTCGCTGCTGGGTGTCACGTTCCGGTAGCCCACGATGCTGACCGCGCTCTGGTTCAGCTTCGCCGCCTGGCACGCACCGATCGTGGCGTGGTATGGCTAGCTCGCCTCCGTGGTGACTGGTGAGGCCGTGGTTGCCGACGATGAACTCTAACAGCTCATGTACCTGCCGCCGCACCCCATGGCCTCGTCGTCGCAGTCCACGAGCTCCTGCTCCAACAGCGACACCAGCTCGCCGTTCTTGTTGATCCCCTCTATCGCCGCCACGGCGGAGAATGCCCAGCAAGAACCTGCATCCACACAACACCCAGATTTCCATCGATTAATCTCCAACATTTTTACAGGTTTGAATCTTTCTTTACCATGCTATTTCTCACACACCACAATCTTCATGGTACTTCACTTCCACCACTGCTCCTTTCTTCCTCCAATCTACGCTCTTCGGCAGAATATCATCACTGCTCTCTCCAGGCATTGCTCTGAGGAATTGCGACATGAGGTCTGAACCCCAACATCTTGGCTCTGAACTCCTCGTTCGTCAGGTCGGCGAACGTACTTGTTATCAGCCAGCTTGTAGCCATTGCCCATGGAGTTGAACTTCTCAACAAGCTCAACGTTGCTCCTGTACACCTCGAACCTCCTCTGCTTCTCGTCGGCGGTCGTGCAGCTCCCGGCACCGCGCTCGCACGAGCTCAGTTCATCGGAGACGGGCGGCGCCGCGGCCCCGATCTCCTCCACGAGCCCCCGCGCGGAGTCCGCGCCGACGCCGTGAGCGAAGACCCAGCGCTCCCGCCGCCGACGCCCTGCCCACTGCCCTTCTCCCGCGTCGCCGGCCGCCGCCGCCGGACCTTCCCGTGGCCCCGTGGCGCCTGGAGGGAGGAGAGGGGAGAGATGGTGAGAGAGGAGGAAGAAGAGGAGGGGTGAGAATGATATGTGGGGCCACGTGGGCCCCACCATTTTTTAATTTATTTTTTTGGGTGAAACTGACATGTGGGTCCCATGAGATTTATTATTTTTCAGATCGAATTGCCACGTAAGCGCCACGTCAACCCTACGTCAGATGAAGACCGAGTCAAATTAGCTACGTAAGCGCCACGTCAGCTAAAACCACCATCCAAACCGCCGAGGGACCTCATCTGCACTGGTTTTTCAGTTGAAGGATGAAAATCGGATTCGTTGACAAGTTAAGGGACCTCAGATGAACTTATTCTTTTTTTTTCGCCCGCGCTATTTGGGCCACATTTAGTTTTTGCGTGTTTAACGATCAAGCTTTTTTTTTTATTTTCTATATGGATTTTGGCAGTTTTTAGTGTTTACAGATCATACCGAATTCGAGGG